GAATTTGCTCTAAAGGCAGGCATTCCTTGGCATTTTCAGAAATGGTCTCAGATACATATCTTGATGGAAGAGATATAAACAACACAAAATAAGACAGTGTTCGCTTTTAAATCTCCTTTGAAAGAGATAAAGAACACAAAATAAGACAGGGTTAACATTTAAATCCTCCTTGAAACTTTGGGATAGGAGACAATGAGTGTTTGCCGAATGGGAGGAAGAAGACTGTAGCATTTAAAGAAATACAGTGTGGAGACAGGATGTCAAGTCTTGGCTTTGGCATTCCTACTGGTTTTGTTCCTGATGAGTTAGTTAGGATTCCCAAGCACCAAGGTGAAATGATGTCATCCAAAACCAACATGGCACATGAGACGTATCTTCATATCAAGCTTGAAGAGAAATGTGATTATTATTGCTTCTCTTACTAGGATTTTTACAGTGTGGCCATGATTATTTTACACTCTGCTATAGGCATCAATTGGTTGTTGCCAGTAACGGGAATTATGCATGCTATCTTTAGCAAGACAGCAGAAAGTGGTATAATATTTTTTTTAAAAACACAGCTATAGATTTAGGTTCAGAAATGCAGAGTATATAAATGTACAACTATTAAATTGAGCACATGCATTTCTGGACTGGGTGGCTTCATCAGGGAAATAAAAGGACAGATGAAAGTTAGAATAGAAAGTTGAAGTCCAGCATAGTAGACCTGTTATAGTACAATTAGAGAAGGATATAGGAGAACAAGAAATTGAGGAATGGGGTAAGTCGATTCTGGAAGGGCAAAATCTGCCACTGCAACACAGTGCTAGAGGAGTAATCAAGACACACAAGCATCATCAGGGAAAAAAGTCCTCAGCTGTTCCAGTGGTGCTAACGTTTGAAGCATCAATGTGCCCTGAACAACATGAATATGTTGAGTCCACTTTTAACTCCACATGAATCCCAAGGTGCAAATCTAGATTTTATAAACAGCAGAAAAAAGGAATGTGTTTACAGCAAGTATGGAGAGAGACAGAGAGAGAGAGAAAGGAGAGAAGAAGCCAACTTGTAGCACTGCAGTAACAGAAAAAAGAAGAAGAAGGAGGAGGAGAAGGAGGAGGAGGAGGAAGACTGGTAGAAGACAGGATGATATGCTCATGGATTTTCAAAAAATATTAAAACGGGATAAATTAGATATTTTGCAAGATTTCCCAATAAGGATTTACGAGATTTATAGGACGTAATTTCTCATCAAGTAATAAAGGAAATGAATGAACTACCAGAGTTAACTCTGTGTTTTGAAGAGTTAATAAAAATTCCCTTGACATGATTTAATGAAGATTAAGGATGGAGAAGCTTTGCCCAAAAATGTCTGAAAGTGGTTGAGGCTTTTTCTACCATGCTTTTCTATGTTACTATGACTTTAAATTTATTTCATTCACAAGCTCTCAATAAAGAAAACAAATAAAATAAAGGGTATCTTCCCTTTAAGACTAAAACCCAAAAGCAGAGGATGCCTTTGGATAGTTCAAATAGTCCATCCATAGGAAAAAAAAATCTTACAATGTGAGTTACTAAAAATCACTCATGCATGTAACGTAGACAAGTGATATATCTACAATTTTGACTTTCAATATTTTCCTTCGGCCTGTCCCACCCTCTGCCACTGACTACCAAATTACACCTTGTAAAAAAAACACACATCTGTTAGTTCAATTGTATATACTGTTGTGCTCCCCTCTGTGCTCATATAACACACACACACACATAAACACACACTCTCACATACAATGTATTTCTTTAAACAGCACGTTGTATTGGGCAGGTCGCTGCGCATCTGATGAGACACATCATTTGCATACTGATTAACAGAAAGAATATTGCTCTTCCACTTAAACTCTTGTGAAATATTTTAAAAAAGAAGGAAAGCTTGTTTTCTTTCTTTCCTGTTTTTAAGAATTCTTTTGTAGCAGGATCTCACTGTATATCCCTCAGGATCTCCCTGCCTCAGCCTCCTAGTGCTTGGAATACATTTGTATACACTATACCTGGACCCATTTTTGAGAGTTAATAATTGTATCAGTGAGGATTATAGGCATCAACCTCCATGTAAATAACTATTAAGTTAATTCATTGTTTTTAATGGTAGTATATTTCATCATTTTCACAAATTACACCTTTGAGCATTTCTTTGCATGGATTTAATAGCTGTTTCCATTTTTCCACTGCAAATGATGTTGCAATAGATATCCTTGAACATATTGTTGTGATTTAGATGTGTATGTATCTTTCACCATTGGCATGTTAAAACCCAGTCCCCAAAATGGCAGTCTTAGATGGTGGCACGTTTGAGACACAAGTCACTTAAAAGCTCAAAGCCCTAGTGAATAATAGCATTAGTGTCCTTACAAAGGGCAGGTGAGGACAGAGAGAAGGTGCCATCTGTCAAGCAGAAAGTGGGCTTTTGCCAGACACAGAATCTGTCAGCCTTTGATTGAAACTTCTAGCCTTCAGAGCTATGAGAAGAAAATTTCTCTGATGTATCTGTTATCCAATTTAAGGCGCACCCAATTTATTGTAGCAACCCAAGACGACTACCGAACACAGATATTTTATGGACGTTTATTTCTATGTCATAACTGCTGAAAGGGATTATAACATTAAAAACTGGAGACATCCAGGCTCAAAGCCACTTTCTATCACTTTGTGAACTTCCACAGAGGCAGAGAAACTGGGATATGTTAAGTGCTCTCACATTACCAATGGACCACGCACGGTTTACCAAGTGTTCTGAATGGGATTAGGGGAAAGCACAGAGACAGAACAAAAAGTCCTGTACTGGGAGACTATCCTTGCATTCAGTGTCACTGTCATCACGTGGATACAGGATACATATGTGTCAGAGCAGCCCTACATGGTGTTGGACACACATGATCAGTGCAAACTTTCTCTTCTGCTGCAGTTCTGCTACTCTCAGTCTCAAGAATCAAACAAACAAACAAAAAAACAGCCCATAGTACAATGCAACACAGTGTGATACTTCTCATAAATAAATGAATAAAAAGTAACAGAAGAGAGTGGAGTGAATCACTCAGTTTGAGGGTAAGAAATGGGGAGGCGTATGAGACAGGTTACCAAGGAACTATCATTTAGACATCTTCCCTAGGCCTGGAATGTGAAAAGAGAAATGTACATATTCACTGAGGTAAATAGCCACTTTGAGCTCTGAGCTCGGAGGAGCCAGTGTGCCTCAGAATGGTGTTTCTTCAGCATTGATTAACCCAAGGATTACTGACAGAAGCTTGTGTAAATTGATGGTTGGTGAATGTCCATCTTCCCAATGTTAAGATTTGCTGCACAGAAGATCTAAACACAGTCATTCAGAATGACCAGGCTTTGAAATATATCAATAGAGACTTTTGAGTAGGGGCAAATATATGCTAGTGATATTTCAAGACACTGTGAGATAGTCATGGGTTATATCACAAATGATGTCAGGTTTCTGGCCTCATAGGGGGAAATAAGTTGGCAACTGAAGTACTATTTTGATTTTTAAAAATCCACTTCTTTCCAAGACCTGCTGGTAGAATGGATAAGTAAATGAATGCAAAGAGGAGGACAATTGAAAGATCCTTTAACTGTGAGAATAGCATGGCTTATTGGATTTGGCAACAAGGAAAAAAAATAAAACAAAACTAACCAATCAAACAAACTAACAAACCCTATTAAGGCTGGCAGAGTCTCTCAACAGATAAATGTCCTTGCTGCCAAACCTGAGTCCCATCCCAGAAATCTACATAAGTAGAACAAGGAAACCAACTCTTATGTTGTTTTCTGACCTCCACCTGGGCACCGTGGCTTACACACACACACACACACACACACACACACACACACACACACACACAAAATGTAAAAAGGAAAACATAGTATCAGAATAGCCCACTGAAAGCCAGTAGCTGGACCCTTCTTAAAGAACTTTCTTGAAGAGGTTAACGTGATCCAATCAGACGATGTGATTTAGGTCAATACACGGGGCAGATGTGATTACCTCTGTAAGCACACATCACACTTGTGTAGTTAAAGTCAGACATATGCCCTTGTCTCTGAGTCTGAAGCACAGAACAGGCTCTTACATAATTTCCTAGCTATTCGGTGTTGGTGCCTGTGATTAATGCTACATGACGGGCTTTGAACTTTCTGTTCAGATGGCTTCTCTAGCCTAGCAGAGCTCCTAGCAAGAGGAAATGTGTGACCGGCAGACTTCGCTCCTGATAGCTATCATTCCAGCCAAGAGCACTGGCACTGTTCCATGAGGCCTCGTGCCTTGCTTCTGTCTGCAGGCAGATTGCCACAGAACTCTTGAGGTGGCATCTTTAAAACAGAAACAAACCAGAGGAGCGACGTAAGTTCACAACCCCAGAGAAAGCTTTTAAGGATACATCTGGGAAAATCAAGAAGAGTCCACGAGGAGTAGTCACGGGAAAGAAATGATAATAGGGAAGTCCTCCTCCATATACTATCTTTTCTCTAAAGCCTCCTGGAGTACCTGCCTAGCTGGAGCTTCCAGCCCAGCAGTGGCTCTCAGAGCTGAGAAGTGTGGTACCAAACAGAAGCTGTTCCAGTGCTGACCAACTTTTCCAGCTTGGATAAGTCCTCCCAGCTTGCCATCTCGGTTCCTGGGTCCCTAAGCCTGGTCTCCAGCTTACAACAGTCCCGGAGAGGCCAGAACTCCATGGAAGCTTCTTGCTCTCCTTTCCACCTCCCCTGCTTCCCCCACCAGACCCTGCTGGCTAGCAAGCTGCCAACGAGGTGATTCAACCTCCTGCACAAACGCATCCACATTTCCCCTGGAATCTTAGGGTGACCTAGACCCTACCTAGCAGCCCCGGAACCGCGCCTCGGAAGCAGGCATGACTGAAGGAGGCTGAACCCCAAGCTGTGGACACAACCGAGCAGAGAGCTCTCTGCTTGACCTCTTTCTACCTGGCAGCCCAGCCTGCTGCCTTTCAGCTACTCACCAACTCCAGGGCTCGCAGGAAGGCAAGGGGTTCCTTCAGTGCCCGGAAGGTGCCCGCTGAGGCCAGCTACGAATGAACGAGACATGGGAGAGAAAGCAAAAGTATGAGCGGAGGGTTGGAGACACCTGTCTAGGGATCCAGGTCCCCTGTGTTCCCGAACCCTAGGCCAGCCGCCCTGCTTGTCCTGTTCAGTTCTACCTGGCTCACGGGGTCCATGGCTCGCCCTTGCTATGTCTTCTCCCGCACTGGTTCCCTTCGGGGATGTAGTTCCTCTGAACTATGGTCTCCAGGGTCAGAAGCCACTTCAGGCCGCAAGCAGCTGATCCAGGACCGGGGCGGGGAGCGCAGGCTGCCGGCACAGCTCGCAGAGACTCTGCTGTGCTGTGCGCTCCTGGAGCTAGCTTTGCGGGAGGCTTGTGGAGCTGGAGAGGGGTGGGCGGGGCAGAGTGGGCTAGGGAGCAGCAACAGGGGAGGGGAGAAAGCCAAGACACGAGGGCCAGGCTGTCATTGGCCAGCCGCAGGCTCCACGGGGGAGGGCGTCCGGGTGGGCTAGGCACAAGCCGCGCACATTGGTCCAGATCTCGGGCGCTGGCGCACGAACTGCTCCAGGCTCCGGGGAAACTTTGGGCTGTTGGCTGGCAACAATGGGCTAACGTCCTCAGCAAAAAGGCTGCCGGCTGCAGGAAGGGGCTTCCGGCAAGAAGAGAACACCCAATGTCAGGGGAGACGTGCGTTCACCCTGGTGACTTCCCTATGACAAAGAAATCATCATTCCAGTCACTAAGCAAAGCCATCATGAAGTGGCTGGTTTCAGACTCTGGGGTCCCGCCCCAGACTGTACATTGCTTCTTCCCCTCTAGCAAGCAGGAGCTAGGGAGGAAATTGGGGTGTAGCCTGAAGAGCATCAAGGGTGGTGGGAGAAAGGGAGGGCTGGAGAAGGGAAAAGAAAGCAAGAGGAAGGAGTGGGGGGTAGAGGGGGAAGAAAGAGTGAACAGAACTGCAATCAATTGCTCTTGGTTCTTGGACAAAGTACCAGGTAGGTAATCTTCATGGCCACCTGTGAGGTCCATAGCAAATGCGCCCATTTTAAAAGTAGAAAACGCCAAGGACTTAAGGTATGTTAAACCTAAAGGACATTTCAAGCCTATACTGTCTCCTTTAACTACGTGCCAATCCCCTAGATGAACCTCCTCAGAATGATAGCTAAAAAACGGAGTTTCCACTCCAACCTGGTCAAATTCTGCTTAGAACTTAATGAGAAGCAACTCACTCTCACCCCTTCATAGGTCAACCTTGCTCACTATAATAAACAGCAGCTTAGTTCTGTCAACCAAGAAAAGACCTTGCTAAGAGCTTAAACATTATTTCATTAAACATTCACCAAAATACTCACGGGGCAATAGCATTATTATTCTCTGTCTTGAGATGAGGAAACTGGAGCTTATTGAGGGGAGGCGAGCTGCTTGCTCAGTGTTGTTCAGCTTGCAGGCAGTAAGCCAGAACTGAATTACGAAGGGTGTCGTAGAAAGCACAGAGGAAGTCGGGAGGGGAAGAGGGGATCGCTCGTATCTGTCACCCTGTGCAGCCCTTCCTTCTCCTCCCTTTGGGCTGGTTTCTTCATATGAAGTGGTCTCCCAGCAACACAGAGAGTCCATCTGTTTACTATAAAGACTTGCCAAAAAGGCTGGGAGTGTGTGGAAACATGTGAGGGGTGTATTTAATATCTAGAAGAGGGGAAATTTAGAAAGGAATAGTTTGCCATCTATAAAAGAGGCAGCAGTACAAAACTTGGGAAGAAAGGGAGCTTTTAGTAGAGGCCCCTCCAAGCCTGAGAGAGGAATTTATTAAAGAAAAACTAGAAATCGCCAGAGTGGGAACCCGGCAAGCTAGTCACACCATCTGCAGCCACAGCTTTGTTCCTACCGTTCTTCCTACATGCTAAAACAATGGGAAGCAACCGCCAAAAAGAAGCCATTGTGCAATTACAAGGTGTATGGGAGAAGGCAAACATAGTCAAATACTTAGTACTTTACGTCCTGAATTGTATATTTTTGAACACCTGGATGTCCTTTTCATCTATGAAATAGAACACAATACTGAACATTCACTGTAGCTAGTTGTTATGAGAATTCTAGTAGAGTTTGTAGATAACCTGAGCAGGTCAGGATATCATACTTTGAATTCTCTCAATAAATGCATCTTTCCAAATGCCTCCATGAGCATGTAAAGGTCCAGGCTGTGGTGCTGACTATCCACTCTTTAGAATGACCCTTCCCTCTTGCTCCAGGAGTAGCCGTGTGTTTATATAATTTAACCTCTCTCTTATTTCCTAACACTAAGTGATGATGACTATAATTTCTTCATAGACATTGGGGCTACAGCTGTAAAAGGAACTTTTCTTCTCCTATTTCAATTGTTTCGGAGGATTACAGCCTCTGTCAGCTAACCTAGGCCTAGTCTCTAGGTTAGCTGACTCTAGCCTCTAGCCTCCATAAAATCTAACCTAGGCCTAGAATCTTTTCAGCATCCGAGACTTACTTCAGAATATCACACCCTTTCTTGTTCTTTCTGGGCTCTGGGCTGGCTGGTTCAACTCAGCTGTTCTGGCTCAAACTCCTCTCATAGCTGACTTATTCAATCTGGCTTTTCTCTTGGCCTCTGAATTTCTATGGTTGGCCTCAAACTAACTCAAGCAGTCTGCTCTAATCTCCTGACTCCTTCTCATTCTCTGGCTTGCTTTGTCTTCACTTGCATCTAATCTATTCTCTCTCTGCAACCTGTCTCCCTATTATGGTCCAGGTAAAACTGTCTCCTCTCTGTATTGGCTCTTAAGTAGCTTCCCTTTCCTCTGCTCATAAGAGTTGGGCATATTGTGTTCTGTCAAATCTTTCTCTGACTTGTCAACCTTTTTTTGCCACCCAATTAGATGTCACTTTCTAACATGGGTGCTTCCTTCTACAAACTAACTTTATCTTCATTGTTTGAGATTAAAGGCATGTACCACCATGCCTGGACATAAGCTTTTCTTTATCTGAAACATTGGCCTTGAACTCAGATCTGCTTGCCTATTGTCTCCTAGATTAAAGGCATGTCTATATTCCAGCTGGATAACATAGACCTAGATGGTCTTTGGATAAGATCACTTGCCAGAGCAGCCATGTCCTGGAATAAAATTCCTCTACATACAGCCTAGTGGTAGAGCATTTGCCTGGCATATTCAAGGGCCTGGGTGTGGTCCCTAGCATTACTAAAAGCAGGATAGGGGGAAGACTTATATAAGGGCACCGTTGACAGCCTGGGTTCCCACACAAGGTTGAAATAGAATGAGAAATGCTTTGGGGACTCTAACAAACTGAAATATTAAGGGTTTTGTTGTTATTGTTGTTACTATTAAAGTTAGCTGATCAAAAAGACTTCATACAGTGAAACCAAGATTCCACATTAGATTGCTTTGGCCTCATAGTCTCTGAATTCTAAAACATCATCTTTGATCTTTGCTTAATTATCAATGAGCATACTGAGTATAACATCCCATGCTTATGGTTAGTGACAACAATTGCCCTGACAGTATCGATTGAATTTCTGCTCTGTGCAGAGGGTTGCAGTGTCTCTTTGTATTTCATTTAACCCATATCCCAGCCTCCTCTACTTCCCTATAGATAGCATACCAAGCTGTTGGTAACTTGCATGAGTTCATCAATATATTAGAATCTCTAAACTTGGAAAAGTTTATGTAATATATTGCTTATGTGAAGATCATTAGAGCGGAGAATGTGATTCTAATACAGTATGATAAGTATACCTATTCCCTCAGCTCTCTCATCACACACACACATATTTTTCTAGTTCTCCAAATATCATGTGAAATTAGCAAATGGGGATGTAATAGTTTGGACAACAGTGGCACATTTTCAGAGATTGCTTTTCACATTCCATAGATGTATACTTTTCAACAACTGCATCACCAAAATAAATAAAAATATGAGTTTCATATCGCCTTTGCAATGCTAAATATTATGTAGATTTTGGGGTTAAAACCTCTTGATTCAGACCTGGAATAACACTGGGTTCCCTATGAATTAGGTTGTGAAGAGAACAAAAAATGAAATAAAAACTGACATAGTTTTATTTCTGGTGACTTAATATGATCCCTTCCCTTTTGCCCCAAAAGAGAAAAAACTAGTTACATCTTAAGATAACAAACATGTTGCGAGGACTCAATTGCCAGGTTAATTTTCACAGAGTGATCTATTTAAGTGCTCTGTATTGACTATGAAACTCGAGTAGTTTCCAAATCTTTTTTTATATTTATTTATTTATTTATTTATTTATTTATTTATTTATTTATTTATTTATTTATTTATTTATTTTTGCTCTAGGATAGGAACTCCTAACTATGAATGTTTCCTTTGACCCAGCAAGGCAATCTCTCCATCTTCCCTCAGAGGAGCTTATTCTCAATAGAGAGTAACTTGAATTTTTCCTTGTTCTATTGACAGTGATGGAAGACATTTTGGTTTTTATGTCTGGGAGGTGGAAGATGACATCTAGAAAGTAATGTCCCAACAGCCTTCTAAGAAGAGAGCTCATCTCCACAGTAGAGAATGGTATGGAATATATCAGTGGCTACAAGGCAGAGAAGTTTTAGCCTGCTCATTCAGTAAATAAAGGCCTGAGAACCTCCTGTGTATTAACTTCATTGAGTTCTAATGTTCAGGCTAATTGAAGGGCTTTCACAGGATCCAAAAGACATAGTGTGAAACTATTTCGCTTCCAATCCCCACCTGCTTTGGGATGCAATACAGAAAAGAAATTAAGTCATTTGGAGGAAGAAGACTGTGAAAACACTTTTTTGTTTTGTTTTGTTTTTTTATTAATTACAAATTATTCACTTCGTAGCCCCCTCCCTCATCTCCTCCCACTCCCATCCTCTCTCCTTTTTTCCCTCTGACCCTAGCCTATCAGGTCTCATCAGGACTGGTTGCATTGTCTTCCACTGTGATCTGGTAAGGCTGCTCCCCCTCAGGGGGAGGTGATCAAAGAGCAGGCCAATCAGTTCATGTCAGAGACAACCCCTGTTCCCCTTACTAAGGTACCTACTTGGACACTGAGCTGCCATGTGTTCACCTGAGCAGGGGTTCTAGGTTATCTCCATGCATGGTCCTTGGTCGGAGTATCAGTCTCAGAAAAGACCCCTGGGCCCAGATTTCTGGTTCTGTAGCTCTCCTTGTGGACCTCCTGTCCTCTCCAGGTCTTTTTATCTCCCACTTCTTTCATAAGATTCCCTGCACTCTGCCCAAAGTTTGGCTAGAAGTCTCAGCATCTGCTTTGATATCCTGCAGGGTAGTGAGGTATCCCAGAAGCCAAAAGACACACAAGGTATATACTCACTCATAAGTGGATATTAGACATATAATATGGGATAAACACACTAAAAATCTGTGCACCTAAAGAAACTAATCATGAAGGACGACTCTGGCTATGATGCTCAGTCCCCATTCAGAAAGGCAAAGAGGATGGACATCAGAAGAGGTAGAAAACAGGGAACAGACAGGAGCCCACCACAGAGGGCCTCTGAAAGACTCTGCCCTTCAGGGTATCAAAACCTAAACTTTTAAAGTCAGTGTTTTCTCATTAGGAAAGTGAGAAGAAATCAAATAATAAAAATGACAATTTTAAATTTCTAAG